TTGGATACACCTATATTTCACAAACGGCACATAGAGGATTCTGATTTTTGAGGGGATGACATGGTATTTTCTTATTTGAGATTACATATATGCTTTACAGCATTCTCTAAGGGCTGAAAAAGAAAATTTTCTACTTGGTTATTCTATGGTATTGCTGTTAGTTTAGGTGTTTCATGCATGCTTTACTTGAGGATAAGAAAACACTTAGGTTTGGGGGTGTTATAAGTCTCTAAAAGAGTTATATTCGGTACCCTTAAATACCTAGGTTTAGTTTGAACTTAAACATACTTATAAGCATTTTAGGATTAAATTTACTTAATTTTGTACATTCTAGATGATAAGAGAATCTTCGGTTGTTAAGGGTAAAATTCATTTTTGTTGCTGGAAACTATTGCACTAATGTTGTAGCACTGCAGGAAATGCTAATCGGATGTTGTAGCATTCGTCTAAGCTTCATACGATTGGAAGAACATTCTGGATTGGGATAGTTGGCTCGGGTAGCTATCATGTGGATGGATAATACCTGAAGCGTGGGCCTTTCCTATTGGGCGATAGAATTCTCATTCAATCTATAAAAAGGTAGTACTTTGGTGCAAAAAGTGTGAAAATTGGGAGAGATTCAAAGTATCATTTCCCATGTTATTTCTTCTCAAGCCATGGACACCTAAATCCTCTGTCATGCATTGCTACAGTACGAAGGAAGATTGCTGAGGAGCTTCAGCGGTCAGCAGATCATGTTCAAAGCCTTCTTTTGAGAGAGTGGGTGATTTGAATGATTAAACTTTTGTTGGATGTTTATTATGAACTTCGTATTTTGTGTTTACTTAGGTGTTTAGTTTATGAGCTTTGAACTTCATGATTGTGAGTAGAAATATTTTGCAATTAAATATATGGTGCGTTTTTTTAATATAGAAATATTTTCTTTCGAATTGGTATATAAATTTGTGACCTTTGGTGTTGCTGAGTAGCATAGGTACCATGAAAAGTGTGCTACCATTAGATTAGCATTGTTAATAGTTTGAATCATTAATTAATAAAGTTATTAAAGTATTTCAAATTGTTTTAATCAATACTGATCACATAGACTAAGTATATCATGTTTGCATAAAATTTGGAAGTCATAATACCATATCCTTTGATTTGATAGCTAACCAATTGCTTTATGGAATGTCGTAGCATGAATTTGTACTTCTCGTGATTGATTTCATTACTTTCTATCTACCATCTCATTTTCTTGATACATTTTGCTACTAAAAACTCTAATGACAACAATATGCTCTCTGTGGGTTTGACATCCAAAACTCTTGTAGTTTCTACTTTATTACTTGATTTGCTATGCATGCACTTGCGTTGTATGCTATAGCATTTTCATAACATCACTAACCACTTGGCTAAGAGCATGAAATTCCATTAAAAGACACGAATATTCATTAAAAACATCTACATTCATACGGGCATGTACATTCATCTCTCCTAACCAAGTTAGTACATTGTTTAGGCCTAAGGACATCATTATTCAATTAAATCAACAAGTATTTATCAAGGGATGCATCATAGCCGAATGATTTTGTATCTATTCAGCCACACCCTTTGGTTTGCTATAAATTACCAATGCCTTGGCATTTTTAAGGAAGACAATCACATGTCATTTCCTATAAATCAAACATATTTTTTTGGTTTATCTCTTCAAGTTCTTAATTGAAAATTTTTTTACTTATCGAGCTTTGCTTGTGGCATCACTCTTTTACTTCCATAAATACTTGTGGTTTCTAGTTCTTTATAACTAGTGGGTCCAAGTCCTTATCACCACCCTAACAAAAATGCTTAAGGTCTAGGGTTAGGATTTCATATAGCCTAGGTTCTTCCTTGTTCTTGTTAACACTATTTTCACCATTCCCCTTTCTTTCTTAGACCATCACTACCCTTGATTTTATGTCTCAGGTTCCATATTAATTATTCGATCCAACAATTTGTTAAAATTGTTTAGGATTAATATTAAAACCTTCATCTAGGGTTTGATTTCACCATAGTCCTTTACTTTAGATGAATTTTTAATTTGGTCATTGCTTTTATGTTCGAGGTTCCATATTAATTATTTGATTCAATAAATTGCTAAAAATCATTAGGTTTTAATATCAAAACCTATATTTTAGGTTTAATCCTTTAGTTTCTTTAAAATTTATAATTTGACACTTTAGTTAGAGGAAAGCCTTAATTAACTTACCTAGTGTAATTAGGTTCAATAATTGATTGTTTGATTGCATAATTTGATTTTAAAGTAAGACAATGTTTGTTTATCAGGGGGTTAATACTATATATTCCGCTTTTGCAAGGGATGACCACTATTAATTCCCAAAGTAAATCAACATCCTTTTCAAAATCTCGCATCATGATTTTAAATTATTAAGACTATTTATTTATTGAGATTAATAATGAAACTTTGGCTTGTGTTTGGGAGCGTTTGTTATTCGTCCTAATAAATTGATACGCTTGTAAATTTGGAGCTCTGCCCCAGAAGTTGTTACGATAAAAGTTTATTAAACCAATTAGTGGGTCATTTCATATTATTCTATAAGATATATAAGCTCACACATTTTGTATCCTGCCATGACATTCTTTTTTTCTTTTCTTTTTTAATTTCACTTTTAATGAATAAAGAAGTTATAATTTTTTTTTATATTGGTTAACCTAAATCTTGGTCTTTTTCTACCTTGATTGTTCTCTTCACCTCTGTCTGTCCACTCATCACCATCAGTTACCAACATCCAGCAACACCGTCAACGCGAATGTCAACCTCACCGTTACAAAAAAAAAAACAAAGGCAAAAACAAGGGTTAAATTTTGATTATTTGGGTATCAATTCTTTCAAAATCATTATTTACAAACAATCTCTTCCCCTCTTCTTTTTCTCTCCTAAATCTCTTAACTTTGTTCATCAAGTACAATTACAATTTTTCTTCCCCTCTTCTTTTTCTCTCCTAAATCTCTTAACTTTGTTCATTAAGTATAATTACAATTTTTTTGCTACAGAGTATTATATACAAGACGAGGGACAAATGGATCGTTAAATACAGGAATGGTGCTTATTTTTATCTTTCAAAATACCACTTTGAAATATTTTAGTTCATTGAAATTAAATGCCTTAATATACCTTCAACAAATTAGGTTGTTTTTGAATTTGAAAAAACGATAAGATAAATGTTTTTAACAGAAAGTTTTAAAATAATAAATAAAATATTCATATAAATATAATAAATTTGTTTTTAAAGTGTAAACTTCTTATAAAATTAAAAACGTTGACAACAAAAGATTTTTAAATTTTAATTAGAAAATTATGATTCAACTTTTGATGAATATTTAAGTCTATATAAACACAAAACTACTTTAAATATTTTAAATTACAAAATCTTCAATCATATTCTAGTCCATATTTTTATCTTATTTATCAATTTTACATTATAATAAAAAAATATCTAACACATCCTATTTTTTTATTAATATGAAAATATTATAAGATAATATTTATTCAAAATAACCTTAACCATTTAATAATAAATGCTCATATATCCCTACAAACATATTTGAACCTAAAACTTCAACAAAAAACAAACATCTCTTTAACCACTTATTCATACCTCTTATTTTTATTGTTTTTCTTTATTATTGAAAACAACTTTTATTTACTGAAAAAAAAAATTAGTATTTTTATTTTTAAAAATAAAAACGAAAAATACAAACAGAAACCAAGCATCCACTCACTATAATTATTGGCATTTGGCAGCGTTTGTATTGAAAATACGTGAGTTAAAGAATTGTAATTTAATTAGGAATTATCAACTGATAAAATAAACAAATAGGCATCTCGTACATCATAAACAAAATTATATGTTGGAGTTGAGTCCACAAATCGGTGATGTTAAACACAAACCCAGACTTAAGGGGTTTTCAAAGTGTGTTTTACACAAGTAATCTGCAACCAAGAATGAAAGGGAAAACAACAATTAGAGTGAAATGTGATTTGTCAGCAAATAAGCAAAACCATCAAAAATCATGTACAACAATGTGTATGTGACTGATTAAAAGAAATTATGAACAAATACTACCTTATGATCACCCTAAATTATTATATATATATATATATATATATATATATATATATATATATATATATATATCGAGACAGTCTGTTAACCTCAGGAAAAAGAAAAAGGGAAAGTTTAGGTTAGATATAAACCTAACATATATGAAAAAAACGTACATATTGCATTTAAAAGCATGAATGGTATGCCGATACACATTACTAGTAGTGGTGAGCAAAACTCGAGTTGATTAAGAAAGATCATTTCGAGCTGACATCATAAATTTGACTCGAAAAAAATTAAAATTTGAGTCGAATTATAAAATAGATCTCGAATAACCCAAAATATTTAGGAATTAGTTAATTAATTTTCATGTTTGATTTGAGTCTCGACTCTATACGATATATTTATATCACATATGAAAAAATTATAAAAAATATGTAATTGTACATAATTATATAAAAACGTTTAAATTGAAATCAAATAATATCATATCATAAATATTTAAAATTAAATTTGAATAGAAACTCGAACAACTCGACTCGAATTTTATAAACTCAACTCGGAAAAAATTTCAAATCAAGTTAGATTTATAATATAAGACTCGTCAATTGGAAAAACTCAAAATTCTTTTACTCAATTCTCTCCATCGCTCATCCCTAACTACTAGAACCAACCATTTTTTTAAATAAAACCTTAATGATGATATTAATGATCACTCATTGTAATGTTTTAACATATTCATGAGAACTTAAGGCCCTTGATATCATCTTAAGCATCAACATGGTTGGGGCAAAATTACTCCTTTGCAATAATGACAAACACAATTCCACACAAACGAATATCAATTCGATTTAAGAAATGGAAAAATATGAATCTCATAAAAGAACTGAAGATGTATCACATGGTAAATATAAATAGCGTTGGATTTATTCAAATCGGTACCTGTTTTTGGGGCTTAAAATTGAACTGAAATTTTACAATCATGCTTCCTTGCGGCAAATCTAAAACAAGGAAAACAGTCCGGTAAGATGAATTCAGTATAAAACAAGCAAGAAAGCAATAGGTACCATTTCTTATAAGGAAATAAAACATTAGTACACTATTTACAAAAAAAAAATAGAACAATGCATGACGCAATGAAGTACTCAAAAGGAATTAAAAGGGTAGTAAATTAAATGAAAGTCAAATTCACAATTTCCAAGTTCCTAGACAACATATAACCAATTTAAGGTTTGAGACACTAATGTCTTCAGTGGAGTCACCAAACTATCGAAACGATCCTTAAATTTTTCAGGAGCAATTCTCGACTTTAGGTGAAAAAAATTTGGGAGTCGTCATCTATCTTTTGGGTTAGATAGGTCGAATACCTAAAAACATCTTTTCAAAGAGTTCTTAAAAAAAATTATTTTAAAATACAACCAATCTGTGTAACCAAAGATTCATTTTAAAAATGATTCAAGAGTCGATTACGTATGAGGAAGAGTGAGCACCCCACAACGCTCGAGCTGTATAATGTGAAGAAAGCAAAAGCATGAAAATGAAGTGATTCGTTGATGTTCAATTGTTTACTTACATCAATCAATAGGGGTTTGTCAGCCTGGCGTGATGTATAATGTGCAGAAAGCAAAAGCAGGGAAAGGAAAGCACTGGCTACGAAAATTGCATCGAACCATCGGTGGTAAAAATCAAACTGAATATCCCCACCCAAAACATCTGTTATAATCAACCTGCCAAGGGATACACAAAACTAATATGGCTTCGGGTTTTCAATCAAAAGAGATCTATGTACAACTTGCAGATTATCATTACAAATTGGATGCAACATTTTTTTTCCTTAAAAAGCAACAGGAAATATGTCATTATCGATCGAGCCATACCTGTACTCGGTCCTCAAACTTTTTCTTATCAAAAGAATTGAAGAGAGGAAGTACATTCCCATAATTTCTGAAAGGAAAAGTACAACATTGCTTGAAGATCCACTGCCAACTCTGGAAACTGCAAAGAAGAACTGCAAACAACAAAAACATATCAAGTTAATCAGCAGAATACTACATGATACGAGACTGCTTCTAAAACAAAGACAGTTTCATTTAACAAATATGAATATAGTGTACGAGGCTCCAATGATGCCACAGAGCTTGTGCTGCTCTTGCCTACAATGAAATGATATAAAAAGAAAGAAATATTTACCAGAATCAACAATGAATTGGCAATAAGAGTTTTTGATTTTCAATAAAATCAAGTAGCAACGCATATGGTAACTCTAACAACTAAACTACAACTAAAACAGCAAAAATTACAGCCCACCAAAAACCAGATTACCTTCATTAGATTTGTTAAGAAACCCCGAACTGATATGGTGATCAAGATTCCAATAAACAGTAGGGAAATATACTGCAAACAAGAAAAAAGTAAGATGCAAACCATTAACAGCGAAAAAGATAGTATAGAGCTCAATAACTAAAGGCAACAAGATAGTAATTTTTTCCCAAATCACAATATGCCACAATTATCAGTGCCTTCGTAAAATACCTAAGCACGGATTATAGAAAACAAACTATACAAGTCCATAAAAATTTATACCCAAGAATATCAACTCAGGAATTGAATTGTACAAATCAATAAACAATTATACAGAACCAAAAGCAACTCAGGTTCTAAACTTAATTTTTTTTTATAGGAATTGCAGACCTCGTTAAAAATCCCCTTCTTGATTAATGGAGCTTGAATGGAAGCTCCTTAATCAGCGGAATGAGGAAAAGAGTGCCTTAAAAATTTTATTAATCATAAGATTTAACAATAACTCCATACTGGATTACATAAAGTTTAACAACTCTACCAACAACAGAAACCCACTAACACAAATAGGAAAAACCACTAATGAAACCATACTATCAACCAATCCCCTTCTTTGTTAATCTGTCTGCCTCCCCATTACACGCCCTTGGAATCAACCTAACTGAATGCACCCTATCAGAGATGAGTGTTGAAATCTCTTTAACTAAAGGCAAGAAAAAAACAAGAGGCAAAGCCAGGGACTGAATCCATTCCACTACAGACTTACAGTCACTCTCAACAATCAACCTACCAACAGAAACCCAACAAGAAGACAAAAATATTCAATTCCTCTCTTTATAGCCTTTAACTCAGTAACTAGAGGGGGACCTTGACCACATTTTCTGAAAAATTCAGAAGAGTGCAGCCATTCCAATCTTTTAAAATACCTCCTATACCTCCATTCGAGCCATCTAGTCTTACAGCTCCATCAACATTCATCTTCAAAAAGTCTATAGTGGGTGGGAGCCAGCGAGTCACCTGACAATCCTTTGATTTCTAAACTTGAATACCATCTGCAAGAGATGGGTCACCAATCAGCACATCCTCGTGAATAGGAATCTTAGGGTACTTGGCTAGAAACCATTTAGATAACCTGAATCTAATAATGAAAAACAGAGACTACCTGTCAAGAGGAGATCCTTCGAACACCATTGCATTCCTAGTTTTCCAAATAGACCAAAATACGACTCCCGGAATAAATTTCCAAATCAACGAGTTCACCCTCAACTCACCCCAGAAGCTAAGCAATGAAGGAGGGTCCTTTGGAAAGACTAAGGCTAGATCCCAAAAGCTTGCTATTTTATTCCATAATTCCCATACTACATAACACGAAATAAATAAGTACTGCAATGATTCCTCGTGTTTCTTACAAAAAGGACAAAGGATATCATCACCTAGCTGTATTCCTCTGTTCACCAACTCTGCTCTTACTGTCACTTTCTGATGAGCTAGCTGCCACAGGAAAGCTTCGACAAGAGATGGTGACAATCCCAACCACACCCCTTTTATCCACAAATCAGAGCCCCCAGACACCCTCCCAAGTGCATTTATGCAAGATTTTACCGAAAACAGTCCATCAACACTTGCAGACCAAGATAGAAAGTCTTCTACTGAATCTGACAGTTTAAAATCCTTCAGTTTTGTCATCAAATCCATCCACTGATCCAATTCCCAATCACACAAATTCCTTCTGGTTTGAATATTCCACACCCAACCGTTCGATTCAAAGCTACCAAATTCAGCAACCTTGCCCCATTTGTTTGGTGATAGCACATATATTCTAGGAAAAAGATATTTTAAAGGAAGCTCATCTACCCATGCATCTATCCAAAATGAAATAGACTTTCCATTACCCACTTTCAACTTTGAATATGATCTGAAGCAATCACCCTCCGAATCATTCTTCAAGAAATTATTGGCAATGCCTCTCAAAATCCAGGAAGATTTGGGAGAAAAAACCTTCGTAATAGACATGGTATTGCAACTAACCTTGTGCTTGCTACATAACACACTTTTTCATAAAGAATTCTTTTCATTGGCAAACTTCCACACCCATTTTTCCAATAGAGCCCGATTAGAAATATTCAAGTCAAGAACACCAAGACCACCATAATTCAAAGGCTTGCAAACTGTATTCCAATTCACCCAGTATACCCTCCTCTTTTCCTCATTACCCCCATAAAAATCTGGCCATTAAAGAATTTCACTCCTTACCAATTTTGCAAGGCATTTTAAATAGTGATAAGAAAAAAATTGGTAAGGATGTTAACACCGACTTCAATAAGACTGTCTTGCCAGCTAATGAGAGACAAGAAGCTTTCCTCCTGGCAAGTTTGGAACTAAGGTTCTTAAAGTCTGGATCCCATAGGGCTTCTGAATTTTTCTTAGCACCAAGGGGAAGTCCCAAGTAATCTGTGGGAAAGGAACCTACTGAACAACCCACTTCTAATGCCCAATCTGTTAAAACTGCCTCATCCACATTAATACCAAACAGCTTGCTCTTAGCTAGATTTAAATGCAACCCTACCATTATATTGAAAATCATTAACACTCTTTCAACGTTTTTAATCTAGGAAAGAGATGCTTGGCAAAAAATGATTAGATCATTGGCAAGTTGGAGTTGAGACAACCGAACAGAATTTTTAGATTTCTCAATAACGAAACCTTGGAAAAGACCACTGTCTACTGCTTTAGCTAGCATCAAGTGAAGCAATTCACCTATTATGTTAAACAAAAGTAGAGATAGACTGCAACCTTGTCTAAGTCCTTTGGCCATAGGAAACTCTTCCGAAGGAGACCCATTTACTAGGACCGAGATTGAGGCTGTTGAAAGACACTATGATATCCACGATATCCATCTATTACGAAAACCCATCTCTGACATTTCTTTGATTAAAATTGGTCATTCAACAGAGTCATAAGCCCTACGAAAATCTACTTTAAGAACAACCCCTTTTAACCCTTGTTTTCTCCAATAATCAATTCCTTCATTTGCGATAAAAGCACAATCCAACAAATGTCTCCCCGGTATAAAAGCAAACTGGGAATGACTGATGATATCACCAACACAACAACTCAATCTCTTAGATACAACTTTAGAGAGGATCTTATATAAACTGCCTACAAGGCTAATTGGTCTAAAGTCCTCTATACTATCCGGATTTTGCTTCTTCAGAATAAGCGTGAGAAAAGCATGGTTTACACCATGCTCCCATTTCTTTCCAAGATAGAAATCTTTAAAAAAATTCAACACGTGGTCCTTTAAACTGGGCCAACACTTTTTAAAGAAACCCATGGTGAAGACATCCGGTCCTGGAGCTTTAGAGTTGTCTGATGAAGCTATAACTTGCCATATTTTCTGTTCTAAAAATTGCTCCTCTAGCTTATTAGACTGATCCCCTGACAGCTTAGCAAAATCCAGGAATAAGTCCACTTCCATTGTTGATTTGGAATTGTAGGTTGTCTTGAAAAAATCCGAAATATGTAACTTAATCTTGTGGGGATCTGAGACAACAGTCCCATTAATCTTCAAGCTTAAAACTTCATTTCTTTTGCTTCTGTTCAGCGCAGATAGATGAAAAAACCTTGTATTTTTGTCCCCATCTTTAATCCATTTGGTCCTTGATTTCTGAAACCAAATGCTTTCTTCAATCCTATACAACCTCCAGAGATTCGATCTAAACTGCATCAACTGATCCCACTCCTGCTTCGAAAGTTTTCCATCTTGTGCCTTACATTCCAGTTCATTTATTTTCCTTTCCAAATCATAAATGGATTTTTAAAATCCCAAACAATTTGCTTCTAGACCAATTTCTGATAGATTTTTTTTGTTCCTTGTAAAATGTTGAAGATACCCCTTCAATTATTTCTCCCCCTCAAATCATCCATGGAAGATTTAACCAAGTCCTTAAAGCCTTCCTCCTCTAAAAGGTAATTAAAAAATTTGAATGGTTTGGGACCCTAATTTACAAATTTATCCTCCAATGAAACTGGATTATGATCAGATAAGGACCTAGGTAATAGTCTTTGCACAACATTCGGAAAACCTATCAAAAACTTCCCATAAATTAAGAACCTGTCGAGTCTTTCCCAAATAGAATCTTCTCTATTATTACACCAAGTATACCTTCCTCCCATCATAGGAAGATCAATTAAATTTGATTGCTATAAAAAATTTCTAAGTATATCAATAGAATGCCAGTTTTGAGACTTGCCCAACTTCTCTGCCGGATAGAGATACACATTAAAGTCCTCCCCAATGCTTATTGACAAATTTTGAGCAGAAACAAACTCCAACAACTCCCTGAAAAAATCTTCCTTTTCAGCTTCAATGGATGGACCATAAACATTAATAATCACACACTCTTCACTTGAATTCTTAAACTTCCCAAAAACTGCTATGAATCTGCCACTTAAATGACTATTGGAAACTTCAAAATCATTGCCATTCCACATAATCATAATCCACCTGCAGATCCCACTGTCAGAGCAAAAATTCCTCCTTTAAGAAATCTCCCCTCTATCCTTCTCCTAAGAGCCAAAGAACACCTTTTTAGCTTAGTTTCTTGAATGAGGAGAATGCACGGCTTATTCTTTTTGACCAAATTAGCTACAGCTCTGGATTTTTCCTTTTTTCCAAAACCCCTTACGTTCCATGAAATAATTTTAAGATTTATCATAAAGAGAAATTTAAACCCAAAGCCTTAAAGCAAGTCAACATAAGAAACCTATTCCCCTGATTTCACCTGTTCCCTACTTTCGGCCAAACTCTCCTCAAGATTTATAATTTTATCCAAAAAGGCCTTCTTCCCCTCTTTAAATCAAATCCCTAGTATTTTACTGACTTCCCATGTAGCCATAACCTCCTCCAAGAACTGCAAGAATGTTGAAGAAGAGACAGTAGGGTAACTAACCACATCCAAAGCATCTCTAATCAAAAGCCTTCTCTTTCTTCTACTCTCTTTTCCTGTCACTGAATCAGATTTAGCTCCTGTAGAATACTATTCTACATTCCTTGATTCTGAGACATATCCACTGCTGAATTCAAAGGAACACCG